CACCACTTGACCACTTGCCTCTGCTGACTAGGCTAGGTGGACTGCCACCACTTGACCACTTGCCTCTGCTGAACACAGGTCAACTCCGAAAGGCCACTTCTAGAAGTCTCCAACTTGGCCTTTCGGTACTGTAGCAGCTACGACTTTGCCCCTTCAGGTAAGTAGCAGCCACGACCTTGACTCTTCAGGCATCCTACAGCTACGACTTCGGAACTGTCYAGACTCCTATTCTACAGGTCTACAGTTCGATTCCTTTCTRCCCTGTGACCTACAAAACCCTGCCTACCACTGGCGGTCCTACAGGTCGCGGGTTCAAATCTACGGGTTGACATCCATACTGTACACAGGTAAGTTGGGGAACTAGGGATCGAGCCCTGGGATCTGTCTCAACTACCACGAATTGGTGAATACCGTTTCATGATCTCGAACCAAATGCAGAGTTGCATTACGAGTCCCACCAAATAAGAGCTCAGCAAAACTCAAAATTGACAAGGTTGTTATAGTCCCATCATCTTATAGAATGATCTGATTCTCAACGCAAATCTATAGCCCTAGGTCTCCCCAAACATATGGGGACTTCCCAGCTCCAGAGCAATCAGACCACCTAAACTTATAGAACGGTATGACGCTCCACACAATCCAAAGTAAAGCATAGCCCTGGATCTCCCCAAACCTATGGGGACTTCCCAGCCTTGATAACCCAGTCAAACTTTAATACAAAACTGCCTTTTATCCTGCCCTTTCCCAGATGCAATTTTTTTTCACAATCTGCTTTCACTCAATCAACAAAGCTGAAACTTAGATTTACATGCATTCCTTTATTTAATCTGGTTTAAGTCCTGAAAGTTTGACAAAAAGTCAAAGTAGGGTTGCATACCATATACTCAGTCAAACATAGCAAGGAATACAATTATCGGTTATACTGGGTTTATAGAAGGAAAGCAATGGTCACCTTTCAATTCCCTGCCTCCAGAACTCCTCCTGAGTTCCGGTAGAGCTCCCGCAATCGGTGGGCTGACTCCCCACAGAGTCTTGCTGCGGTCCGACGGGTTGCAATCCCGCCTGCTGCCTTCCTCTCGTAACCACAGACTAGACATGGAGCAAGAAGGATAGAAAGAGAAAGTTTAAGTCTCTCAAATCCCAGGATGGTACTCTCTAACTCACACGAGAGGGCCTTGAAATCTCGATGCGCCTGAGGGCCCCACAATGGTAGCCTGAACGCGCAGCAGCTTGGTTAAAGTGCAGTCAAACTGCTGGCTGTTGGCCTTCTGACGGCCCTCCACATCGCAACAATATCCCTCATATAAACCTGGCCAGTTCCTCCAAGATTGGCGCCAAGCCCTCTAGTTAAGACGCTGCTACGCAGCCTAAGGAACGTCGCACTCAAGCAGAGCACACTTCCCTTAGACTTTATCAGAATGTCGGCAACACGTAGCAATACACAGCAACATGCACCCTACTCAGTCAATTGAAGCTAGATTGCCAACCATTGGCTCCTCGACGAATCTCCTGTCCGCAGTAAGGATCTCGCCTGCCGAGTCATAATGTCGTTTCTTCTGATCAACCCGCTGTTGTACAGCCTCGAGATACTATGCTCAAATGAAGTCCGCCCTTGTGCCCTGCTCAATCAACAGGGGAAAGTGCCGCAGTGCACAGCATGCACAACCGTATGTACGTCACGACATTCAACAGCACACGCAACAGCCC